CCATTTACATACAGTCTTTGTGCTAAGCTAGGCTAGTAGTGAGTGCGTCAAACAGAGTTACAGCACGCACAGAGATGAAAAAGGTATTTATGGACTTATCTAACTCTGGGGATACAGTGAATAAGCTTAAGTCCAAAAAAGTCGGAGTGTTCCTTTAAGAACCTAAATCCCATGCCTAATATACAATACCACCATTCAAAGGTTTGGGGTTAGTAAGAGGTTTTTTTTAAAGGAAATTAGTACTTTTATTAAACTTTACAAGTGACAGTAAAGACTTGTACATTGTTATACATTTCAGACTTTCTATTCATCAAAGAATCCTAAAAAATGTGTCACAAAAATGTTAAGATGCTTTTAACATTTGCATTTAGCATTTGCATTTCTTCTTATTCTAATGTTAAAACATCTTAATATTTTTTGTCGCACATTTTTTGGGATTCTTTGATGACTAGAAGAAAGTTTGAAATTGAATGATTTCTGAAGGATCATGCGACACTGAATTCTCAAGTAATGATTCTGAAAATTTAGGAAAACGCAGCAATATATTACATTTTTAATTATACTCACATTGAAAACAGTTATTTTATATTTCGAAACGATTTTCTTATTCTTTCAAAAAAAAAAACGAACAGACCTCAACCTTTTGATTTGTATATTTTCCATATGTAAAGACATGCTTTTGCATCTAACCTTGGCTTTGTTGACTTCTCGTTTGGCCTCTCCTCCAAGGCTGCCGGACATGCTGTCGATCTGACCTTTGCTGCGGGGCATGCCGTCAAAGATGTCGATGTACAAGTGCTCTTGAATGATGTTCCATATCTGGTTATTATGTCTTTCCTGCAAGTGTCTCTTCAGAAGTTGGTACGAGTCTCTTGAGATGCGCAACACGAAACGGCTGGTGCGGAAATCCAGAAGAGCCTCGTTCCCCTTCATGTGCTCTTTCTTACTGAGGCCGCAAAGAACACGCAGGTCATCCAGATAGTAACACTCCTGATCACCGCTAAACCTATCAGCAAAAAAGAAAAAAGTGAAATGGCACAATGTTAAGACTTATAGAATAAAAATGATCATCAAATTACATGATGATATTTGATATCCCTCATTAAGGTCTGTTTTTCTGATGCTTACTTGTCAAAGAAAGCCTTGGCTTTGGCCTCATTGTTGTTGTAGACCAGCTCCAGGTACATGTGAACGAACAGGGGGTAGAAGAGCTGGGACAGTTCTGCGCGGTGGCAGTCCAGCACTGACTCAATGAAGTTCTTCAGGTCACTGTAGTACACCTGATACAGAGATGGATCCCCCTGCTGACTGTACGCTGACAGCACCACACGGACATCTGGATGGTCTTCTGACAACAGGAATGTCAATGTCAAACATTTATGTAATATACATTTAAAGTGGATCGAAAAAGTTCATCAAAGTTGCCCTAAGCCAAGACTGGGTATTGTTCAAAATTCATGTATACAAGTTCGATGAAAGGTTTTGATCCACTTCAAATGTTGACTAATGTGTGTGTATATATATATATATATATATATATATAAAGTTATTTTTTTTCTTTTATTAAAAGAAGTCTTTTCTGATCACCAAGGCTGCATTTATTTGATTTAAAATATTTTTTTTTATTGTTAAATATTATTACAATTTAAAATAACTCTTTTCTATTTTAATATATTTTAGAATGTAATTTAGTCCTGTGATGCAAAGCTGAATTTTCATTACTTCAGTGTCACATGATGAAGGAACATTTTAATATGATGATTTGCTGCTTAAGAAATATTTTTTTCAGGATTCTTTGATGAATAGAAAGTTCAAAAGAACAGTATTTGTCTAAAAGTGAAAGCTTTTCTAACATTATACACTACCGTTCAAAAGTTTGGGTCTAGTAAGAATTTTTTGCAAGAAATTAATACTTTTATTCACTGAGGATGTATTGAATTGGTAAAAAGTGACAGTAAAGACATTAGTAATGTTACAAAAGATTCTATTTCAAATAAAATATGCTCTTTTGAACTTTGTTTTATCACAAAATCCTGGAAAAAGTGGTAGCCTACACAACCATTTTCACCATTGATAAATGAATAATAACAAAACAATTGAGCAGCAAATCATCATATTAGAATGATTTCTAAAGGATCGAGGATCAAAATACATTATATATATTAGTAGTAGTGACCAGATATTTAATATGCATGAACTTCATGCACAAAATGCAAGTAAAATGCCAAAAAAATTAGTACAAATCTACTCATAAATAAGGAAGACTAGGGAGGACTGAAGAAAGATGTGTTATTGAAACAACTAATGTAGACTAACTCGAGCAATGCATGATAATAATAAGCAAGAGCTAAATCCGATTTTGTACTGATGCCATAATAATTTAATCGATGCATGTTGTATCAATAAGAAGCTGGAGGTGCCACTCACTCTTGACGGGCACGGGGGTCAGCGTGCTCTGGGGGGCGGCTGCTGCTGTGATGGACACCCGGCTGAGCAGAGAGTTCGCATCCCCTTCACCTCCGTCTTCGTCTCCTTTACCTCCTCCACTGCCATCGGCTGCCAGAGAGTCCACCTGGTCTTCTGTGAGACCCGCTTCTCGCCTCAGGATCTCCACCGACTCTGACAGTTTATTCCGCTTTAGAAACTGCAGCACTGCGATCAAAGTTTGTTGGTCCTCCTGCTTCGGGGCTCCGCCGGCGGGGGCAGCGGTGAGGGGCGATGAGGAGAGCGCCCCGTTTCCAGTGTTCCCCGAGAGGTTTGATGTCCCATCGGTAAGTATTTCAGGCTTTGTCTCTTTCTCTGCGTCCAGCTCCATCGGTCCATCTTGCAACGCCGCCATTTTTCCCCCCGGCGCCGAATGCAATGACGTCATGACGCACGCAGCGTGAAGTACGCCAAGACGTACTCGCGTGGTATTTGTTCAGTGAGTGGGGTGAGAGTGAGTAGACGAAGAGAAAAAAAAAGTAAACGGATGAAAATTTGTTATGAATTCGATGGATATCAGGAAGGCAAAAAGGGGGGCAATGTTTCTGAGGTATATTTACTTTTGTAACTTCATTTTTAATTGTGACTTTTTTCACAGTCGGCCTGGTTCTCCTGTCACCCAGCTTCAGAACAGTCTGAATATGCTGAAGTATTAGTGTCAGTCCTGGGCCCTTACAGTCAACCTCCAAAAAACTAGGGTAATGATATGCCAGAAACGCTCCAGATCTCGGGGACCAACACACACATTCACACTCTCAGAGAGAACCATAGAAACCACAAAAACCCACACTTAGTTACCTCTGCCTAAAAAGAACTTGAACGGGTCACTGTGAATGAACTCAAAGAGAAAGATCAAATGGCCTTAAAAAAGATGCATTAATTGACATTTGACAATTGAAAATTGACATCCCAATCTAGGAAAAACATCAGATAGAAACTCTACTTTTAGAATTCTGTAAAAGAATACTCAAAAGTCCAAAGAAAAACACCAAACGGATGCAGGTTAGATTCCCTCTCCTTCTAAACAAAAAAAAAAAAAAAGAGTCATCAAGTTCTGGAAACTTCTAAAAACAAGTGACCCCAACACAATTGCAAAGCCCTAAAACACTAAAAGATGAACCTAACGAAGAGTGTGCCAGCTGGTGCTGAGAATGACCTCAGGACAGACACACGTTCAGCCACAAATAATGAACACAGAAAAAGGAAAGTACATCACCCATTGGACAAACACTTTTAAAAACCAGCACAAACTGGAATGTTATTCGGCCTTTAATCGAGACTACAGTGTTGCAAGCTTACCTGAGCACAGTGTAAAACTCAGGAAAACATTGACTCAGCGAGCATAGTCTGGCCGTGGAGATGGGCCGGTGCACAGACATGGATCTTGTGAGGACAATCACTGCTTGCAATGCGTCCAGGGAGTGACGGAAACTGAGCTGCACTTCCACACAGAATGCCCAAAATATTAGAGACCACTATAAACCCAAATTATTCAAATATTTCCCCAATTTAACATCTGTAGATCAACCAAAGATTAAAAAAAAAAGCCAAATTCACAAATATATAAATATTCACAAACACACTCTCACAGCCCAAAACCAACCCCCCATTCGGCCAACACATTCTAAGTTGTTACATGACTTCTGTATTATTATTTTTATTATTAATTGTATTTTATTATAATTTTTTGTTATTATTATTATTATTTGCTATATCTAGCCCTGTGTTTATAATATTTTTTTATTTAGTTTTATTATTATTATTTTCTACAAATGCTTTACTTAATGTTCAGATGTTCTAAATCATTTGTCTGTTGTTTTATACGTTGGCATTGGCAATACAATATGTGTACTATTTATTATTATTATTATTTTTTTTGTCATGCCAAAAGCTTTCTGAATTGAATAGAAGAGAAAGAGAGACTGAATTCAGAATCGCATACTAACATACTACTCTTACTATTTCTAGCTGCCAAGATGTGAGTAGGCGGTTCCGAATTCGGCGAGAGAGAGAACTGCCCTATCCTTTACTTTCCGCAAGGAGGTAGTGAGGGGAAGTCAAGTCCGAATCATTTCAGAGAATCGGTTCATTTGAATAGTTTATTTCCAAAGTCGAATTCAGGGATTCTTTTACATCATGACGAAATTACGCCACCACGTGGTCCTTGACATTCGAGTGTAAAAAATAGTCTCTGTTTAAACGCACATTATAGGCCTACACATTTTTTTCGATTAAGGTTTAAGTTGTAATCGCAGTTCAGTCAGTTTGCAGCAATTAGGCTATCCAACTCATAAAACATTATTTAGGTTAGAATATATATATATATATATATATATATATATATATATATATATATATAATTAGATTTTACATTAAAAATCCTGAACATTTATTTATTTTATTTCATTTTATCTGAAACAGCACATCATAAACGTATTAACAGTACGTTTTAGTTGTCGACATTTGGCTAGTAGCCTGTCAGTTCGAAAACGACTCCGACCAGTCCGATTCGATTCATTGTAAAAGATCCGACTCATATGAATGATTCTTTCACGAATCTCAACGGTAACAGGAGGCATCCGCGGCTGTGTTAGTAGAAAGGGAACATCTTCATCGGGGATTTTTCTTTTTCTTTGAGGGCTCAAGATAAAGCTAGCGACACCCTTCAAATCATTTAGAAGAAAGAAGCCTGAATAATTAGAAGCCGGATCTAGATCATTATTCAAGGACTGATGCGGTCATGGCAAGTCTCGGTGTCAGCTTTATCCGATACTCGCCGGCAACATCTGCAGGATATAAAGTGAAAGATAAACTATAATCGAGTAAGTTTATCTGATCACGGTAGATTTAATCTTTGCGCATGCGAGATAACAGTTCTGCGCTCTGGATATGCCGATATATGAACTGAGATAGCGATAGGCTGAATGTGTGTTCAAGACAATGTGATTTTGGCTTTCCATAGACATTTTCCTGTGACTTTATCATCGGCAACTCTAAGACGGGGACTCATTTGTAACATTTGTTTTGTGCAGTGTTTTAAACGGCGTATTAAAGAACGCATATCTTCATCTCTCATCAGCTGACCACCTCTGAATTCATTGCATTAGAAGAGCTACACTGGAGTTTTCCTTCATTTGCACAAACAGAAGCTTTTGTTGGGATCCAGACATTTACTAGTGTGTTAAAGGAGCCTAAAAGGATCGTGGTTAAAGAGTAACGGGATCTTGGAGATGTCAGGCCGGCCTAGGACCACCTCATTTGCAGAGAGCTGCAAGCCAGTGCCGCAGCCTTCAGCCTTTGGCAACATGAAAGTCAGCAGTAAGTATTATAATCTCCTCTGTATCTCATATCATAACCTTTCTCAGTCAAACACCATTTGAAACACAAGAAATGCTCAGTTGGTGTTTTGTATATGATATACAGTTTGTGAGCATCTGTCATGTAATCTATCCCCTAATGTAGTGCTGCTTGGATCTCAAGGGATGGGTCAGGTCCTGTCTCTTATTATCAGATCTACTCAATGGAAATACATTTGCTGCATTGTGCATTAAGGAAGCACCCTGCCTGGGCATCATTGCACAGCTCAGTAGTTTTATAGCAGGGAGATTGCAGTGTCCACTCCAGACCCTTTTTTCAGCACAGACAATGACTGTTTACTTGCATGCAAATTCATAGATATTAATCAGAATTTTGTTATGTACGCATCATGTCAGCACTGATTCAGGGTAATTATAGTTTTTTTGTTATACTGTATACTGGCCGGTTTTGGTTGGCACAATTACATGATGCACACTGACATTAATCTGAATACCTGTGACCACATAGATCTGTCATTTGAGGGCTGTCATTGGCTGGTTTGATTCATTGTTTTTACAAGGAAGATGTTTCTGTTGAGCTCATGGCTTGTTTTAGTGCCCTAAAATCCTTGAATAGGTATTGATTTATAAGACCATGAATGTCTTGAGGCATAGCTTACTACTATATAACTTGATATCTCACGCATTTTCTAGCTGGATGAAGTTTGTGTAGCTCCATGAGCTGTAAAAATGTCCATTTCCACTCTTTGAACCCGTGCCCCCGTGGTTTGATTGACAGGCCTGTCTCCTGAGCCTCAGCCCAGCTGGATCACTCATTTCCTGCACTAATGATGTGTATCTCACCACTGTGCTTCTCAGAAAAGGAGGATCAGAGTGATGTGTGTGACTCACCTCTGACTCCATCCCTTTTTCAAATGTCTCAGTCAATTTAACAATAGGGGAGGACATGGATTGACACTTTGTCCAGCATTTAAAGGGTTAGTTTGGTATTTTACACTTAAACCCTGTTTTAAGATCGTTTCTGATTAAAAAGAATGGTTAAGATTGAAATTTGGACAAATGCTGCTGTCCTGAGAATTTTAGGTTTCTGTGTTAGCACAGGAGGACACAATCATTCATAAAACGCATTAAACTTTAGTTAACAAAGATGTGAAACTCACTGAGTGGTGTGGGTGTTCACTAATATATGTCCAAATTTCTTTAACATTCATGGAACATTTCCATTCCACTAAAGGTTCTTTATGTTGGAAAATAAATCTTTAAATTATTAAAATGTTCTTCACATCGAGAAAATTTGGTTCTTTTAAGAATTGTTCACTGATTCTTTTTGGGGAACCAAAAACTATTCTTCTATGGCATCGCTGTGAAAAAAAAAAAAAAATAGAACGTTTACAACGTTGCATGCACTTCAAAAGCATGAGGACTCAGGCTGGAATTGATACTGAAAAACTGACCAATCAGAGCAGAGAAGATCAATCACAACAGACTTGTCCGTCCGACCAATCAGTGCAGAGTAGACCAACCACAACAGACTGAACCTTCTGACCAATCATAGCAGAGTAGACCAACCACAACAGATGGGGCCATCTGACCAATCAGTGCAGAGTAGACCGATCACAACAGACTGAACCAGCTGACCAATCATAGCAGAGTAGACCAATCACAACAGACTGAACCATCTGACCAATCATAGCAGATTAGACCAATCACAACAGACGGGGCCATCTGACCAATCAGTGCAGAGTAGACCAATCACAACAGACTTGTCCGTCTGACCAATCAGTGCAGAGTAGACCGATCACAACAGACTGAACCAGGTGACCAACAATCAGAGCAGAGTAGACCAATCACAACAGACTGAACCTTCTGACCAATCAGAGCAGAGTAGACCAATCACAACAGACTGAACCATCTGACCAATCAGAGCAGAGTAGACCAATCACAACAGACTGAGCCATCTGACCAATCAGAGCAGAGTAGACCAATCACAACAGACTGAACCATCTGACCAATCAGAGCAGAGTAGACTGCAAAAGGAGGGGTTTAGAGAGACCGGATCTTGATCCGTTTTCAGACTCTTTGAGGAATTAGGTGATCCTGCAATACATTATGAGAAAGTTATGAGCATTTGGCCTTAAATGCATGAAAACCTATTATCGGAAAACTCCAAAACAAAATGTTATAGTATTTTTGATCAAATCAATTCAACGTTGCTTGGCATAAGAAAATGAAATATAGTTTAAAATAATTGATTTCAATTATTTAAATATTATAAAAGCCAAATAATTAATTAGTCTTCAGTTTGTGAATGCAAAATATCATTTCTTTTTTGCTTTTTGAATATTGTGCATGCACGTGAGAGTAACGGTGGTGCTGGCATTGATCTAATCAGCTGACAGCAAATGACTCGCGGCGTCAGCTTTACCAGCTGACTCATCCTGCTGCCATTAGCAACGCCCAGGCCTGAGGCAGCATGCCTTCCTCCACAGGGTGTGTCCTAAAGAGGGGCTACACCTGACCATGTGACACTCTCATTACTGTCATGCGGCAAACCGTCTGTCTAGACATACATGTCAGAGAACAGCAGCAGGCCTTTCATTATAGCCGTGAAATTGCATTTCATAGCTCGTATTAAAGAATATACTGTGAACCTGTCAAAGCAAATTAGGCCTTTAATCCTATTTAAAGCTATCATAGACCTTCTTAGGATAGATCTCTATTTAATGGGTATGAAAACGAGCCTGTGGGGGACGGACGTCTGTTGATTGAGGCAATTGTGGTGTTGATCATTAATATTATTTTGTTTACAGTAAAATATATATTCAAGTGGATCAAAAAAATGTAAAGAATAGGTTGACGTTGGTATCAGATATTGAATAATGAATTGTGCAATGAATTGTATTATTTTTGTATTTTTTATCGAATTTTTAATTTATCATTATTTATTGGCCATAACATAAGTAAAATAAATATGCTTCTCATCAGCCAAGATTGTAATATATCAGGGCATCCCTAAGCACAAGCCATTGAATGCATTTAACAAATGTGCCTATGTTTATGAAGTTAATTATGATGGCCAACCTGAGGTTCATTATAATATAAACAAAACTAAGAAGGAGGAAAATTCTGCAGAGATAATCATTAGATATTCACAATCGGTTCATGTTTATTCATGATTAATTCATTTTCATCATTCATTATCATTGCGGATGGTGAGGGATAATCATTTTGTATGTGAGATAATGTGCTTAATGCTCCAGCCGTCATGATGAAAAGTCTCTTAGACGGGAGAGAATTAAGCTAAGCTGTGTCTTATATTAAATGCCTCGGTTTATCTGAATTGCTAAATGACTAGTCAGTTCCTGAGCTGGATGGTGTCAGAGGAGCAGGATGGGACGATGATCTGGGTTAGTAATGGGCCGTGACTCAATTAAAATTCCATGCTGTGTAAGTTTGGCTCATCGTGCGAGTGTGTGTTCACGCTCACACCCTCTGACTCATCAGATTTCCCCGTGCTGAACGTGCGCTCGGTCTGCACTTCACTCCACGGTTCACCTGACCTGCCAAACACCATAAAAGTAGCCCGTGTAACTAACTAGTGCACTACATTTCAAGTGTCCTGGAGCTGTATGTTTGCTTTGCATGAGGAACAGACTGAAATTGAAGTCATTTTTACCTGAGCATGAATGAATATTTGTTTTTTTAAATATATTTTCATCTTTACTTTCATCTACAAGCCAAAAATACATTTTATGGCTTTTCTCAGTCCAGAAAGCTCCAAATTCAAAAATAATTTCACATTTCTTCTACATAAAATACCAATTTTAAATACACATTCATCTTTCCAGAGGAGAAGTATCAATTTAATACTCAGTATACTTAAAGCGAAATTAATGAACGGACTGATGTGACGTCGTTTCAAACAAAATCAGGTCGAAACCAATTTCATCTAGAGATTGCCAAAGCAAACTTTCCGGAAAAGTTCGCTCCGGCTGCTAAACACCTTTGTACTACCACTTAGAAAGCAAACACAAGCCGAGCTGCTAATTATTTCTTTTATTTTGAAAGAGTATTTTTGTAACACCAATGCATTCCTGACCTAGAAGATCTGCAGTGAATCATGATACTGTCTATTGTTTGAAACCTGTTTGGAAATCCTTGGACTTTCCTTCTGTAGGGAGTGTGTTTATCAAAAACTGAAGAACGGATTCAATATTGCTTACCATACTTTTTCCAGAAATTAGTCTGCTCTAAACCCAAACACAGCAGAAATGTGATTGTCTCGCCTTTCAGAAACATAAACTTAGTTTGTTTGGTCATAAAATGAGTCATTCTCATGCATAATTGAAATGTTTGTATGTAAATGTAATCATATTCTGCTGCTTTGTAAATGTACACTACCATTCAAAAGTTAAATATTAAATTTATTATTAAAGGATGCATTAAATGGATCAAAAGTGACAGTAAGGACATTTATAATGTTACTAAATATTTCTATTTCAACTAAATGCTGTTATTAACAGTCATTTTTAAATTGTAATAATATTTCTTACAATATTTTGATCAAATAAATGCAGTTGGTGAGCATAGAGACTTGTTGAAAAATTGTACCAACCCCAAACTTTTGAACGCTATTGTAGCTAATGAGAATGTGATTGGTTTATGTAAAATATCTTGACTTTATGGTGATTAAAAAGTGAAAGAAGTCACTGATGTTATTTCCTAGTGGCATTTAGTTTCCATGACCTCAGCTTTGGCCTGGACTAGATCACTTTTTAAATGATCATCTGGCTTTAGTTTCCAATTAAAATTCTCATTGTCCTGATTAATGATCCCATTTGCCAGCTATACACAGTAATAATCCATAATTAAAAATCACAAAACTTTATTTAGTCAGTTTTCCATTACTGGACTGCAGACGCACCAAGAAACCAGACCTTTGCTACATTGGAGGGCCATTTAAATAATGTTTGTTTAATCGAGAAACTAAATACTCTTAATAGAAATGGAAATTCACAGAGAAGGAAAAAGGTGAGTTTCAAAATATCTTTCTAGTGTATAATTGAGGACACTTCCCATTTTATGCTCATATTCCTCATTTTCATGTTCTCAAGCACTTGCTCAGGAGTGTGAAAACATGGTGAGGTGTGAAGCGGATGTGTTTAAGTCGAAAATGAGCTCAGGTGTATTTGGACACACGCAGGAACACACACTAATGATGATATTAACACCTAGAGCTCATGTGACCGTGTTAAACAGACCAGTGAATTACAGAGGAATATTCATGGTACATTGTACTTTCTCTCTCTCCTTAGGAGATAAAGATGGCAGTAAAGTCACAACGGTGGCCGCGACCCCTGGTCAGGGTCCCGACAGACCTCAGGAGGTCAGCTACACGGACACAAAGGTCATCGGGAACGGCTCGTTTGGGGTCGTGTATCAAGCAAAGCTTTGCGACACCAGTGAGCTGGTGGCCATAAAGAAGGTGCTGCAGGATAAAAGGTTTAAGGTATGAATGTGTGTACACCGTTGGTTGTGTGTCCAGCTCGTCGTCTTTAGAAAATCTGAATGAGCCCAAGTGCGTCAGATTTGTGAGGCCAAAATAAGTTTAACGTTTACCGTTGTGGTGATATGGTTGACATTTTGCTTACCATTTAGCCTTGTATTGATGTCAAAAAACAAATTCTTTCTCTGTCTATACTTTTTTTTGATCAGAATCGTGAGTTACAGATCATGAGGAAGTTGGATCACTGTAACATCGTACGTCTGCGGTACTTCTTCTACTCCAGCGGAGACAAAGTGAGTGCCACTTATCTTTTCTTCCCTCCATTTTTCTAAGCACCATCAAGCCAATTCCCAGCCAATGCTCTGGGTCATGGGATATGTGTTCATGTGGTGCAAACCTAAGTCAATAGCAGTCTGATACGTGACTTTATTATGAGGGACTGCTGCAGAGCCCCACTGGTTTGGTTCTTGCACACTAAAATACACTCTGGACACCAGCAAACTCACACTCCCTTACTTAAAGTTTGTACTCTGTTGCTAAAAAACTAAGTATACATCAATGGTTGACAGAGGACGTGTCTGAAGCTTGGTGTTGATGCGACCTTCGTAGTGACAACAGCCAATCACATTACTTCCAGCTTGGACCACAACACAAAAGTATATAAAATATATATGAAATTATATTTTACATAAAGTTCCAGTAAGAAAAGTAAGATTTATTCTCCCTCAATTAATAGTGTAATGCAGAAAAAAAATCTAATTTTTATTAATGTAATGTAAAAAAAATTATTATGTATTTTGACATTTGTAAAATATGTGTATATCATAGCAATATTAATGCAATATCATAGTTATTATGACATTTGTAAAGTGTTTTTTATTTCATGGTAATATCAATATCATGTCATTTGTAATGAAATTACAAAAAATGTTCACATATTTTTATGCGTTTATAGTTTTATAAATATACATTTTTAATTGCAGTAAGATTATTTAACCCTGAAAATAAATGCAATCAAATAAATAATAATAATAATTATATATATATATATATATATATATATATGATATATATATATGAAGAGTTCAGATGCAAAAGCCTCTAAATGCCATTTGAAATTTTCTTCTTTAATGATGATTTTTATCAAACTTGCATATTTAAGTTCAGTAATTTCACTTAAATAACATTTAATAGGTAATTATCATTGCCATTTAAGTGAAAGCACTGAACTTAAATATACAAGTTTGATAAAAATCATCATTAAAGAAGAAAATTTCAAATGGCACTTAGAGGCTTTTGCATCTGAACTCTTCATATATATATATAAATATATATATATATATGACACAATTATGAGTTTTTAGAAGAGTTTTTATAGAAGTCTCTTATGCTTACCAATAATGTATTTATTTAATCAATCAATACAAAAACAGTCATATTGTGAAATGTTATTACGGTTTAAAAAAACTGGTTTCTGACTGGTTTCTTTATATATATATATATATATATATATATATATATTAAAACTAATTTATGCTGAATTTTGCTTATGCTTTGCTTATGCTAATACTGAATTTTCCGCATCATTACTCCAGTCTTCAGTGTCACATGATCCTTCGAAAATCCGTCACTGAGAAATCAGTCTAATATGCTATTTTTTTTTCTTGATTCAAAATATATATAAGCAAATATTTTTAACAATTTGTTTGATGAGATTCTTCACTATGAACAAATTGAATGAAATGTCCCTCTCATGGTGCGGTGCACATAACAAAACGTTTTCATTCATCTTCAAATTCATTATATGAATAGAACTATAAATACTCTGCACAATCTTACAGTATGTTTAGCAGAATACACTTGCTATGCCAGCAGGGTGGTATTTTTGTTGAGATTTACAGCACTTGCTGCTCAGGCTCTGCAGTTTTGACCTGTGGATGGGATTTCTGGGTAATCCTGCGAGAGCCCCGGGGGCAGAACCTGTCACAGCAGTGGCCAATGAAAGCTCAGTAGGAAAGTTTTGATTGATGGGAAGATAAACTGTTAAACCAGCCCTATTTTTACTGTATGGCAAGTTCTGGCTCCTGTACAGCCAACCAAAGAAGCACTTTGTGTGTGTGTGTGTGTGTTGAAGAGAGTTCACAGAGTTCAGACTTCCCTTTTAATGTATAATCTATACACAGATCATACAAATAAGATCAGAGTCTTGTCAAGAACGAGAATACTGTAGCATTACGTACCTGAGAGTAAGTTTTTACAGAGTAAATTTATACAAGCTGCAGACATCCAAAATCACCCACTTCATTTTCTTTTCTTTTCCGAGAAAGAAGATCAAGGTACCACACAATGTAACCTGACCCTAACCACGTTCATATATGCATAGTTTATGTCAGAGGTCGTCCGCTTCAGTCAGGAGGGCCACATTCATATATAAATATAGATTGCAGCCTCATGCATTGCTTGTGGTTTGGGAAATGATTGTGGTTGTGAAACATGAGGATTTTACCGAGTAAAAAGAGTCCTTTTCATCCGCGTACACTTTTGTTTTTCTTCACATTTTAGATTGAGTGAATTCAATTGAAGTGTCACATCAGTCAGAAAAGCAATCAAGGGCCTTTCCGTGACTAAAGCAGTGTTTAACAGTATATATGTCTTTTCCTTCTGCTGGCCTTCGCCAGAAGTTTAGATTTTCACTTGCTCTTTTAAAGGTTCTTTTGACTGTACTAAAGCACACAAATACCTTATGTTTGCAGAGATGTAGGAAACGTGCTATGTTCAAATACTTTGAAATAGCTTTGAAATATGCGCTCTGTGTCGGACTGTCTGTTGTTTGTTTTGGTCTGTGTGATTTTGGTCCAATTTACCAATAGTATTTTGAAACCGAGGGTTGCCAATTGGCAGAAAACAGCAATGGAAGCTAGAGCCAGACCGATATATCGGCAGGCCGATATTATCGGCCGATATTAGGCATTTTCCAAAGTATCGGTATTCGCAGTTATAATGGCCGATAAATGAATATTTCAAAAATAAATTAAAAACGGACGAAACACACTTCAACCATGTCAGGAGTGTTGGAGTTGTATAGTTTGTCCACCAGAGGGCACTCTACACCATCCCTGTTGGCAACACATTCTGCAAACTGCTGATCCAGCCAGATTCGGGCAGAGAGAACCAGTTATCCGCGAGTGAGATCATCGGTGAAGTGTGTTCTTGGTGAGTTGGTCACGAGACCAACTCAAAAATGCATTAAAATGCATTATCATATTATTTTAGTTAAAACTCATACATAACTACAAATAACTAATGTTAGGGAAATCTGTTAATGTTTTGTTGCACGTTTCTGAAAAAAAAAAATATCGGCCGATATATCGGAATATCGGATTTTAAAACCAACAAATATTCGTATCGGTATCGGCCTTCAAAATCCTTTATCGGTCGGGCTCTAATGGAAGCCTGCAAACGAACTGGGCCGCAAATTCTACCCGACCTAAAGCCCTGGCAATAAAAACATTGCAAACATATATGTCAGCTGATCAACTAATACTGTAAAGCTCAAAGTATACTTCAGCCATATGCGCCACCCCTCTGTGTGTAGACCAATTTTTGTGACTGCAGTACCAGAAAGGAAGGCCTGGGTATTCTTAATTTCCCGCATTCCGCTCTGTCTCGCACACAGTTGAACACGCGAGCCTTTCAAATGCTCCGTCCCAATTGTCCTATGGCTAAGCCACGCCCCCTCCACTCACTCAGACAAACAGTCAACATTCGGGGACAGGCGCTATGGCGGCTGTCACAGTAGGAGACATTTCACAGGAGGCAATTGGTGGTTTTTGGAGACAGAAAGATTATATATCATCTCGAAGTCACCTAAAGGGCCTTAACTAATCATTGGAGGGTTATATTAATAATTTTATTGTTGAGAAGGTCGATGAAAAGCTTCAGCTCCAGGCAAAAATGTACAGGTCACAGTGTAAACGTGATAACCCCGCATATCGTTGCCATCACCGTTTGGTTTGCTACAGTATTTACATGTATCATTCAGCACAACATTGTTAACATTTGTTATCTCGGTTATTTACAAATACGTTAATGAAGCTGAGTGACATGATGTACACCGCAGTTAGAAGCTAACGTTAACGTTTTCTAATGTTAGACTAACGTTACGTTAGAGATTTTAAAGATAACGTTCAAATACGTTGTTGACTTAACTTAGCACAGATGTAGACATCCTTGTTTAATTTATCCACATTTAGTTGGTGTTACCGCATAACTTAATCCAGAGCAGACACTTATTTCGGTTGAGATGTGGCTTGGGAAAGGGTAAAAAATACACACCGTCGCCCAGCCTCTCGGGAACCTAGTGTTGGAGTTGCATGTACCCCATGCACACCATTTGACCATTTTAAACTTAAAATCACAAGAAAAAACAAATGAAAACTGACGAACTGCAATGCATTTCAATGAACTGTGGAAGCAGGGAATGTCCGAGTGTATTGGGTTAGCTGTGCACTGTGATTGGCTCATTGCGTTTGAGGGCGTGGCTTAGCCATAGGGTAAGCATTTTAATCTAATGTGGTGTGAGCTGTAAATCTTGTTTTTCTTAGTTTTAAACGCAGACTTATCGTTATTTTTTTTTTAACTTAAAAAAAAATCCTCTTCGAAGGCTCCTCCAAATGCGTCTTTCGTTTCCCGTGAAATGAAGAATACAATACAAGGTGATGGAGCCTTGCCTAACCCAGAATTCATTGCGCGAATTCATTGACTAAATTACACTTTTAAATGTAAACTTAAGTCCGCGTCCTTTGAAGGATGCAGCCTCTGAATTAGGCACAAAGAGTGCCTTGAAACAATCAACTCTGGTCATATTTTCTTGTACCATGTGTTTATGGTTTGAGGATATGGGCACTTGGCTAGTAACAGATGAATTTGCCCAAAATGCTCTACTTTGCATGGTTGGATGGTACGGTAGATAATTTTTTGTTGCAATTAAAGACTGTTTAAATGAATACTTTTGTCCAGCGAGGGTGCACTACCTTGATCAAAAGTGACGTAGTGAATAGTAGAAAAAATCTACTTCAAATAAATGTTCTTTTAAATCAAAATTGATAATAATAAGTTGATAATAGTATAAATTGATAATAGTAAGTCTCAACAAGTATTGTTGCAATTTGAAGGACTGAAGGACCCTCTTGAGTACTGAGATTTATTACCACCACAGCAAGGGTTACAATAACGTGTTGATTCAGCATTCATGTCTACATTTGTAGACATGTTCAGTTACGCTGGTATCTTTGTCCCTCTCATTGACAGACAGCGAGAGCTTCCAGCATGGTGACATAGTGTCTGACCTTTAGCGAATTCATCCCGACGGCTCCCCTGGTGTCACAGAAACAGGATCAGTTCTGTTATGTTACCCTGTCCAGACAGAACGCTCACCCATTTACATACCTCTTTAGTCTCTTGGCAATGGTGCGGTTGAATGAAAAGTTGATTGATATTGACTATCACACTTATAGTCAAGAACAGCAGTGCAACCTAAACTCAGCAGTGTGCAACTAAGTCTACAACCGGCTATTGCATTCCACAATGCAATTCACTTGTCTTTACTTTCCAAGCACTCACTATGTCTTGATTTAATATTTGATTGGACTAGGGATGTGGCCGAAGCCTGATTCCGAATTCAGAAACGCAGAGAAAATGAATAACACATTCTACGGAGCCCCCAAAAGGGACATGGTCAGGCTTGCTGCGGTAGTCAGCTACATTACATTATATCAGATTCCAGTGAATCAGGTTTCAGAGAGATGACTGATCTTGTGAAATTTGTGGTCAGTACTACTGCTATACACCGAGTACACGAGATTGCGAATTAGAAAGTGAAAGTAATAAGCAAGCGGGCATTTAAAAGTGATTTCAATACCCCTGCATATTGATTGCGTCTGCATGATGCCTGCAAATTATATACAATATAATTACCCAATTATATAATTGCGAGAGAATGCAAAAGCATTGAAATATGTTTTCTCATGTGTTTTCTCTGTAGAATGTGTAATTTTTAGTCAGTCAGTTAATCAATCTTAATATGGCTAATTATTTTCTTTATGCATATTTTAGCTAAATATTTTCATGTGTATATGTGCAAACATGCTACATCTTCAATTTGTGTCAACAAAGTTGCATTTGAAACCTTTATCATTGCATATTTTGCAGTTTCACAAACATTTTAAAAAATAGTATGCACTAGTATATAGTTCATACTACACATTATGCAGTATGCTAGTATTACAGACATTTTGTTACTATATATCATGTATTTTTGGTATTGTTGGAAAGCTGTATTGACCAGTCAGCACAGCAGCAACAGCAAACCTCGTTTTATAAATTCTAAAATTATCACCGTATTTTAAAATGTGTAAAACGCATGTCTTTAGTTATCACCTGTATGAAAGCACCAACATGGAGCCTTGATATCAATATTTGTGATTTACCAGCCTCTTTTATTTAAGAATTTGTATGTGTGCTTGAACAACCAATCACAGCACATCTCAGAAAACACTCAATCACAGGACAATTGCAGAGCTGATCTCACTGTTGTGAGGTAGGAAATGGCTCAGATCCTTTGGCGGGTTCATTTTCCAGCTACATTAAGGAGTTCTTGCTCTTGAGGGGAAAGAGAGAGAAATCACGACTGTTTAAATAGTCAATGTGTCTCATGTGTGATGAGTTTCAGACCCCCTAGAACGTCCCCCAAGTTGAGAAATATTACACTACCGTTTAAAAATTTGGGGTCTGGAATAATTTTCATTTTATTTTATTTTTTTAAACTCTCTTCTGCTCACCAAGGCTGCATTTATTTGATAAAATACAGGAAAACTCTTATATTGTGAAATATTATTACAATTTCAAATAACTGTTTTTAATTTGAATATAGGGGTCGGCGATATGGCAAAAATATATCAAGATATTTTTCAGGAAAATCACGACTCACGATTTTATCACTATTCCTTTTCATGTTGGTTTTACTATTTTGCAAGTGACAGCATTACAGCCACACAAATGTCCTAATTTTAAAAACATCCTTACAATGTAAAATACCAAATAAAAAGAATGGCAAACATTTAGGCTATAAGACAAAAATCTTTGACAAGATACAATGGAAACATGAGGGCTATTTAAACATCAAGACTAATGACTAACAAGAAACACCTGTGAACAATCAAGACGATCTACCAATTAGAAATGTAGTTTATTCCTGTGGTGTAAAGCTGAATTTTCAGCATCATTTCTCCATTTCTCAGTGTCACATGATCCTTTAGAAATGAATATCAAGATTTTCTCCTCAGGAAACATTTCTGATTATTATCAGTGTTGAAAACAGTGCTTCATATTTTTGTGGAAGCTGTGATGTATATTGTCAGTATTTTTTCTTTGATGAATAAAAATAGATCTTTTGGAACTGTATAAATGTCTTTACTGTCACTTTTGATAATTTCAATTCATCCTTGCTGAATAAAAGTATTTCTTTCTTTCAAAGACAATAAAAATAATCTTACAGATCCCAATCTTTTGAATGGTAGTGTACATCAAAGGAATGGTTTGTTATATTTAATATTCAACCAAAAATGCCTTGTTAATTACATGACCTCATAGTAATGTTCATTTATCACTGGATAATCTAGTGAACTACTTTTGATGCTGTTACATGTGTGTGTATATATATAGCCAGTAAACACACACCTGAGACTGTACATCTATCTTGATCATTGCTTGTAACTAGGGTTTGAAATTAACTTTTTCACTCATCAGACAATTTGGCTACAAAATTTTTAATTTGCCGGCCATTCAAAACTTCTACTTCTACTAAAAATGAACCAGATTAACTACATCACAGCTTCACTATTTCTTCAATGCAAATGAGCAAGTGCACCGTTATTTGTTGTGTAGTGACAGGCATGTTCAAGTAAGCCAGATATGCGCAGATTCTTCGCAATGTATTTTTCATGATGACTCACGAGTTGAGTGTTTGTGCTAAATCTGCACAGATTTGGATTACACGAACTTCCCCAGCAAAGTAAACATTAGGTAACACACCAAATTAGCCAGTGATTTTATAGCGTTACCCGCCACAGTTCGTTTTTACCTACATTTGGCGGATTGTTGAGTGTTCATTTCAAACCCTGCTTGTAGCCCATAACCAACCTATAAAGATGTTTTTCTAGATCGCAAACACTCTCTCTTTTGTCTTTTTCTTCACTTCCACAGAAGGATGAGGTGTATCTGAATTTGGTGATGGACTATGTGCCTGAAAACGTGTACCGAGTGGCCAGACACTACAGCAGAGCCAAGCAGAATCTTCCAATGGTCTACGTGAAGGTAACATCTCGCTCATTTTTGACCAAAAGATTTTACGTTTTGTTTGTTTTGAAGTTTTTACTTCATCGGAATGGTACGAAACTTGGTAAAGGTTTTGGCACTTGCTATGTGAACACACACACAAAAAAATCATGGATATGAATCGAAGGTTAAATGGTCCTGAAAAAAATGGTCACGCTTGTACTCAAAAATGAGCGCATTGGAAATGAATGGGACTGAATGGGAATGGGAAACATTTGATACTGCGCCCAAACAAAATCTTACTGAATGCAAATTTTTTGAGATATCAAGCTCATATTTGGAGCACAACTTGTTTAGATTTACATCTTTGATTTTCATGCAGTTTTACAGTATAAACTTGTTTTTGAACATATATATTTCATATAAAAATTTAAAATAATAATTCTTTTGCATTTTTCATATTAAACATAAAAAGTTACTTTTTTCACTTTTTCACTTCAGTAATAATTTTCCAAGTGTCAACTTTGAAAAGAAATCAAACTTAAGTCTGTGCTCAAAAGCTTTGAATATTTACGGCAGTTTAGGTTGGAAATTTAATTTTCAGGTCTATGCTCAAAAAGTGACTACTTTACTAAAGTGACTACAGCATAAATATAATTTAGTATTATAAAGTCCCATAATTAAACTAACTAAAATATAGTATGTTCATGTTATTGAGAGAAAAAAAAAGAAGTCATAATTTTTGACCGCCATGCGTTAACATAGTCTGACATTATTCGCTAATCTAAAGATGTGTGATTTTCTAAGTCGGTTTAGTGCTGGTCTAGCTCATGGAACAAAACTGCAAAACATAGTTTGTGTTGTGAATCCAGTCAACTATGCGCTTTCTGATGTAGCTTGGTTGACCATGGTGGTCTTGCTGGTTTGGAGGTCTTACAAGCAGGATTCTTCTGTTTTCATGGGGATCTGTGCCATATCTTAGTTCATCTCTGAGCTTTCAGTGGATTCATTTGTAGATTTGACTCTGTATTAAAGTCACTGATTATGTGTGTTTTCAGCTATATATGTACCAGCTGTTCCGCAGCTTGGCGTACATCCACTCATATGGGATCTGCCATCGAGACATCAAGCCGCAGAACCTCCTGCTCGACCCAGAGACAGCCGTACTCAAACTCTGTGACTTCGGAAGGTGAGATAATGCTGTAAAATTAACAGCACTTATTGATACTGAGATATTGAGTAAGAAATAGTTGAAGCATTGACTGAAGTTCTGTGTTGATGCTCATGATCTTAATAAAAATCACTCTTTTGGTGATTGAAATTAAATAAAATTTGTGCTTACATTACTTTTCAAAAGTCTGGGGTCAGAAATAAAAAAAATAAATACTTTTATTCAGCAAGGGCACATTAAATTGATAAAGGCTACATTAATAATGTTACAAGAGATTTATATTTCAAATAAATGCTGTCTACGAATAAACGTTCTGTCCATCAAAAAAATCTTTCTAAAATTTCTAAACAAATATGAACTGTTTTCTACATTGATAATAATAGGAAATGTATTATGAGCTGCAAATCATCGTATTAGAATGATTTCTGAAGGATCATGTGACACTGGAGACTGGAGTAACGATGCTGAAAATTCAGCTTCGATCCCATTTCAGAAAATAATGAAAATTTTAATAATATTTCACAATATTACTGTTCGAAGTGTATTTTTGATCAAATAATTGCAGCCTTGATGAACATGAGACGCATTTCCAAAACATTAAAAAAGTTTTTAACAACAGTGTACATATATATTTTTGAACAAATTGATTATATGGAGATGTTAGTGCAGGAAAATCATGCAACATGTACTATACAGTTTAAAAGCATCCCAGGATGCACCTCATGAGGTTGGTTGAGGGAATGAGGGCATTTTGGTAGAGTGTGAATGGCAGAAGTATAAAACCAATAAACTTTGCTTGTGTTCTATATAGAAAACGTATTTGGAACCCCTAAAAAAAGGTTCTATACAGAACCCTTTTTATGGGTTCAATAATAAGAACCCTTTAGGGAAAAAGGGTCTATATGGAACCTTTTGGGTTCATTCATTATCATTTGTTTTGTCCTTCTGGATTAAATATTTCATATTATTGACAAACATCAAGACCCTAAAATGTATTTATGAATGCATGTGAATGATCACAAAATTCAAGATATGTGGTTAGAAAATGTTGAAAATGGGTTTTATCATTTTATGAAGTTAATCAATATCACACGAAGAGTGACATTACAGTTTTTCTCCTCGAAAAATCAGCATGATTGAAATGTGACAGTACGTTACTTCAACGGTTTAATAAACAGTGATTTAATTACAACTACAAAATGTTGCAGAATAATGTAATATTTGAATGAATAATAGCCTATAAAGAACCTTTGTGCCAAAAGGGATCTTTCTTGTCATTTTAGAACTTTTTTTTAGCATAAAAGGTTCTTTGGAGTTGAGTAAAGAACCCTATGCTTCATATAGAACCCCAATGAACCCTTTTTTTCTTTACTGGAAAACTTCATCTGGCTATTTCACGGCAACTGAACAAGTCTCATGTGCGAATGTGACTATTCCCACCATCAAACCCGACACATTTAACTTTGTGCATTCTGATCTGACTTTATTCGAATAAACTGTTCAAAGATCCTCTTAACTAGAGCCAAATTTAGTTCACCGCAGAGGATGAACTAAATTTGGCTCTAGTTAATTAGTGTATGGTGATAAATACTGATTATGATTATTGTTCTTATGATGATAATGATGGTTGTTTTGATTTACACCGTTGTTGGTGTAATTTCTGGTCTGATTCTCTCTGTCTGTCTCTCGCGTTTGGTCCGTCTCCTGCAGTGCAAAGCAGCTGGTGCGTGGTGAGCCTAATGTTTCCTACATCTGCTCGCGGTACTACAGAGCCCCTGAGCTCATTTTCGGAGCCACAGACTACACTTCCAGCATAGGTAAGGTATTCTACTGCTCTCTCTACCCTAAAACTCTTCTTAAACTATGCCATCGGCATAGGTGCACTAAAAGAAATTATAAAACAGAGAGATTCATTATCACACAAAATCCTGTACTGTTATATATCACAATAAAGCAGTCATAATATAAACTTGAGCGTCTTTGTGATGTCAAAAATATTTATATTTCAGATTTTTTTTTTTTTAAAAAACCCTCTTATGCAAACCAAGGCTGCCTTCATTTGATCACATTAATATTGTGAAATATATTATTATTACTATTTAAATTTTAAAAGGAAGCCATCATTACTCCAGTCTTCAGTGTCACAGGACCCTTCAGAAATCAGAAAACTAATTGTTGAAAACAGTTAATATTTTTGTGGAAATTTTGAAAAAAAAATGTCTCAAGATTATTTGATGAATACAAAGTTCAGTTTTTAAAAATGTAAATGTTTGTTACATTATAAATGTATTTACTGTCCTTTTTGATTAATTTAATGCATATTGCTGAATTTATTTCTTCAGATATATTCAGAGATTAATTTAGATATTTGCATGGTTGAAATTACATGCCTCAACAAGCGATGTTGTATCGGTTAAATCACACCAACATAGTTTTTGTGTATTGTATAAAGAGCTCAAAAACACACTGATATCTGTGATGTAACAACAGTATTTGGTGTAATATTCAGTGTTTACCTTTTGTTTTTCTATACAGACATTTGGTCGGCTGGTTGCGTACTGGCCGAGCTGCTTCTTGGACAGCCGATTTTTCCCGGTGACAGCGGTGTCGATCAGCTCGTTGAGATTATCAAGGTTTGGAAGTGTGTGTGTTGCATGGGAGTTTTCATTAATAACATTTTGATTGCTTCACATTTTGTTATTGCCGAACTGAAGAGTCAGTTAAATCATATTATTCACTTCTCTTAGAGAAGTGTTAGTGTTCAAGTAACGCAAAGTGAAGTTACATTTCTTTTTTAAGGAACTTTCTCCTAGTTTACAGCAGAATCCTCAGTGTACTGTTAAAAAAGACTTATTTCCTGATCTATAAGGAAGTGTTGTTGCTGTCCCTATCCTTTTTCAATAATTTAAATAAGACTTAAATAAAATAAAAAATAAATAGTATATGAAAAATCCTAAACTTAATGAAAATTAGAGCTGCCTCTTCAGCAGCTAACTGAAATAAAATACGTTGAAGTACTAAAATGACTAAACCTAAAACTGAAATAAAAAATGAATAAATAGAAATATATTTTGAAAAAACAGCAAAACAACAAAATTGCTAAAACTTTGACTAAATTAAAAATCTATGTTTAATAGGGCTGTGAAACGATTAATCGTAATTAATCACATCCAAAAGTTTGTTTACATAATATGTGTGTGAACTGTGTATAATTATTTTGTATATAAATACACATACATACATGTATATATTTAAGAAAAATGTTATTTATATATAAAATATTTATGTATAGTACAAATTATATTGACCATTTCACAAGATGTAAACAACACTGGTCCAGAAACACTTCCTGTTTCAGTTTGTAACTGTTTTCTTTATTTCACATGCAAAGAAAACATCTTAAAAAAATTTTTTTTTAACTTTTTGATTCAGTTTTAAATGTTCTGTTGGTTGTATTTTATCCCAGCTTTTATGAAGTGTTAAAAAACTGAAACAGGAAGTGCTTCTGGACCAGTGTTTACATCTTGTGAAATGGTATATATATATATACAGTATATATAAGCAAATATTTCATAAATATATACATGCGTGTGTATGTGTGTGTGTATTTATATATACAAAATAATTATCCACGGTTCACACACATGTATTATCTAAACACAAACCTTTATTTTGGATGCGATTAATCGTGATTAATTGTTTCTCAGCACTAATTTTTAAATATTAATAGTTACTATAATAGTATTTTATGAAAAGTAAAATAACACTAATAGCATCCACACACACCACTCATCAGCAAATTGATTCCAATGATTTCGTTCCTCTGTATCTTATATAACTGTTGCTGTATTGTGAACTCTCAAGTCACATCACCTTTATTTCTATAGCGCTTTTTAAAATACAGATTGTTTCAAAGCAGCTTTACAGTGATAACAGGAAGAAATAGAGAAGAGGAAATAGTGTCATGTTTCAGTGTTGATTTAAACAGAATAAGAAAACTTGTTTCCTCCAGGTGCTGGGAACTCCAACACGAGAGCAGATCCGAGAGATGAACCCAAATTACACTGAATTCAAGTTTCCACAGATAAAGGCGCACCCTTGGACTAAGGTTAGCATGAGTGTTTCCATGTGATTAATGCTTTTCTCCTTCTCCTTTCTCCTTGGTTTAACTCTAGGCTTTGATTCTATCCTCTAGTCTATACTGCTGTCTTTACACCCTTCTTATATTGCCTTATAAAATTACTATTGCAAACAGTTTAACTGCTCTCTCGTGACTTATTTAAACCTCGATTTATATCAAAAAATAGTACTTTTGACAGTCAGAAGTTTATATTATTGTCCTAAAAAGCCTGTTGTTGTCCATATGTTAGGTTTTCCGGCCTCGGACCCCTCCGGAGGCAATAGCCTTGTGTTCCCGATTGTTGGAGTACACGCCTACAGCCCGATTCACTCCTCTTGAGGCCTGCGCTCACACTTTCTTCGACGAGCTCCGTGAGCCCATCCTCAAGCTCCCGAATGGACGAGAGCGACCCGTGTTGTTTAATTTCACCACACAGGGTATGTGGCACACAGATGCACAGCAGGTTCATGGTTTCAGACCTGTAGATCGGTCGCTTTGCTCCGAAACAGGGATTGAAATTGTTACAAAGTTGCATTTTCTTCTTGGTTCAGTTCTCTTTGACCAAAACTTGTTGATACAAGTCAGAATGGCTGAAATAATATATATATAATAATACGAATATATATATATATATATATATATATATATATATATATGAAGAGTTCAGATGCAAAAACCTCTAAATGCCATTTGAAATTTTCTTCTTTAATGATGATTTTTATCAAACTTGTATATTTAAGTTCAGTAATTTCACTTAAATAACAATTAATAGGTAATTATCATTGCCATTTAAGTGAAATTACTGAACTTAAATATACAAGCTTGATAAAAATGATCATTCTAGAAGAAAATTTCAAATGGCACTTAGAGGCTTTTGCATCTGAACTCTTCATATATATATATATATTTGTTTGTCTTGTTTTTGTTATTTATATATATATATATATATATATATATATACAGTATATATTCTTTTTATATATATATATATTTGTTATATAAATATATATATATATATATATATATAACAAAAAAAAATATATATATATATAAAGAATATATATATATAACAAATATATATATATATATATATATATATATATATTATTTTTTTATGGATGGACCATGAGTCTGAATAAAAGGATACTACTACTATATAAATTTAGTCATAATCTATTATTACCTGTCATTTTAATTTCCATATTTTAGTGATGATAAGCCATTTAATAGGCTCTTTTTTTATCCTTCACATTTTCATTTTTCTTCACAAACGTACAAGACAAGCATATAGGCTAGAAATGCATTTATTTATTTATGAAGAGGAAGTTGAACAGTGAAGTGAAGTTCGACACTTTTCAGGTTTCGTCATGAATAAATTTCAACAAGCTTTGTTGCTTTTGATATGAAACAAAGTGTCAGTTTTCAAATTCTGTCCATTTTAGCACAAAATTCAAACCATAAATACAGTTTTGCCGCTCTATATTGTGGCGTGAGCGAGAGATCACCGTTGCGCCTCAGTTAAAGCCTCAGTTTTTTTTACTTTGTTACAGAACACAAAAAAAATCCATAAATAGACATCTGGAAATATGTTGAAAGATACAGTCCGTATCATGTCTCTTTTTCTTTTTTTTTAACAACTGGAACCTTATTGTAAAGTGTTACACTAATATATTTTGCATTTAATGATCAGAGTTGTCCAGTAACCCCTCGCTAGCCACCGTACTCATCCCTGCACATGCTCAGAACCTGGTGGATAACTCCGCCCAGTCTGCCACGGCTGCAACAGGTGAGCGTTTCACTTTCAGCCTCTCAGAAACCCAGAGACTGCTCTCACAACCACTTTCAGTAATCATCTGTAATTGTTCCAGGTGCCATCAGTGGACCGAACGCCAACGCTGCCTCTGCCGCCCCCAATCCTACAACTTGAACCCCGTCCACCAGTCAATGGGCCAACGCTGCTGCTTATTAGCCACGCCCAGTCCCGGGAATCAAGGGCGTGGCTAAAACGAAACGAAAAGCTCATGGTATGATGGATGCGCCAACCAAACCTTCCCCAGCCATCGTCTTTATTTTTAGTATCAGTGTTTTAATTTATTCGCTCTGAAGGACAAAACGAGGGCTCAAAAACACGCCTCAGGACTGTCTGCGGTCAGGTTTGAAAATGATTTCTCTCTCTCTATATATAGATATTCACACACTATTATAAACAGTTACACTACAAATGTGTTTCCACATGCCTACTTGGACTTTTTTTAAAGGGGAATCTGTATGCTGTAGCCACGGCTTCTTTTATAATCGTCAGCTCACAGGTGGTTTCTGATTGGCCCAATACGACCAAGCCACGGACAGATTTCCAGGGCTTGTGTACATTCTGTAGACTATATATGCTAATGACCTTTGCCTTTTCCCTCAGTATTGGGCGGATATATGTTGTGTGCTTACGCTGTTTGCTGCTGTGTAACTCTTTCTTTTCGACCACTTTAGAAGGAGTGACACTATCCATTTGTTTTCCTGCTCGTCTTCCTCCTTCCTGTTGTATAGAGCTTTACTGAACTCTACACACACATAATATCGGATCATTTTCTGTGAGCGAGAGTGTATGTGAGTGCATGTTATGTGTCTTATGTCTATAAATACTGTATGCTCATTCTTGAACTGTTAGTGAGCTACTGTAAAAGAAACAAGCACGAATCTGATAATCAGGACCTTAACATTGAACATGTGAACGGGTTTCTGTCGAGAGAAAAATGCCGTGGTTTGGCTCTCCAAATCGTCTCTTCTGTCAGTTGTGTTAGAATTTAGCGGGAATGAGTGGCTGGGAACAGTATGAAATTTTTAACCGTCTGGACTGCTCCATCGGGACATCGACACTAATGATAAGATCTCTACAGAACCTTTGCTTCCACTTCTTGTTGTTTTTCTTCCTCACGTCCTCTTTAGCGTCCCCTAGTGTTAGTGGAAGTGTACAACTGAGGCTGTTGTGTTTTGTTCATCTAAATATAGTCACTCCAGTCTGTTTATTTACCTCCCGAAAAAAGTGCTGTTGAAAGAATGAAATGATGTTCACCCAAATATGAAAATCATCCATCTTTTACTCGCTCTCATATGGAAGCCCATTTCCGCCACATAAGAAAAAACGCATGCTGCATTATGACACAAAAATCAAATTTATAAGATTAAAATTAATATACGATATCAAAAAGTCAAAATTATAATCTATAAAGTCAGTTTCGACTTTATCACAATCTTAATTTATGCAGTATGTCGTAATTTAGACTTTGACTTAATAAATATGACTTGGCTTGTAATAGCTTCGTCATAATTATGATTTACAAAAGCGGAAATGGACTTTCAAAGTTTCAAACCTAAATTATATTCTTCCTTCCATCGACCCCTGAGGAAATGTTACGTTCACAATCACGCTGATCTTTTCTATTCAAATGAAATATGATGGTGACCAAGAGTCGTCAAGCTACAAAATGGGTATCATAACAATAATCCATATGACTTCTGAAGACTTCTGAAATCGTACAGTTGCTTTTTGAGGACATTTTTAAGTGGTTAATAATTCCGTTCTGCCATATATCTCAAGTATTTTGTTCAATCTGAATATGCACACATGTGATTTTGTAATTTTTGAAGCTTGAAAGATCCTGATCTCCATTCACTTTCATTGTATGGACATGATTCAGCTTATCACAAAAAAAAATTTATGGAGGTGAGTAAATGATGACATTTTAGTTTTTGGGTGAACTATCCCTTAAACTGACTAAGTACTTCCTGTAAACTTTTGTTGTTCTTTTGAACTGGTTTTTAATTGCCAACTATTAGAAAAATGTGATATTATACAAGGTGCTTCATTTACTCATGTATTAAAAACAATCATGTTTAAATGTATGCTTGGCAAAGGGAAATTGAATTGAATTTCATCTGCTGAGCTCTTGTTCAGGTCAGATCTTTATCACAGCAGGGAAAATAGACAATTTTCCCCTTTTTAAACTTTTAGTTCAAAGTTTCTGAAAGACTTTCTTAATCATGCAGGAATTTCCTGTATGTTCTTTTAATTTTGAGGGAAACTTACATGTGCAGTTTTTTTTTTTTTGTCCACACTTTTTTATGATTATGAATGATATTTGGGAGTATAGTGTCATGTGTCTAGTATTAACTAATGATTTGCAATAATATATTTTTGAGTTGTGTTTGGGATCTTGTGAGATACTTTCAGCAGCACTTAGAGATTGATGTCATGTAGCACTACGGCCTTTTTCAAACGTTCATAAGCTTTATTTGAATATGTTTTATGTACATCCTTGCATATTTATCTATTGCTGTTAGCAGTCACGTTGCTTCAAGGATTTCCTCAGCATGTAAAGAAACACCTTCCTCGGTGACTCATACTTGAGACGAATATGAGATGAAAGGGAAAAGGGAGAAATAACAAATGTGAACTGTTTGTAGCCATTAGAGTCAATCAACAGCCACCGAACACGTGAAACAGCTTTTGTTTTGGGTTTTGTTTTTGTTCTGTCTTGTTTTGTTTGGTTCTGTTTTATTTGGGGGAGGGGTTTTGTTTTGGGATTTTTGTTCTGTTTTATCTTGTTTTGTTTTGGGTTTTGTTTGGTTCTGTTTTATTTGGGGGAGGAGTTTGTTTTGTTTGGGGGTTTTTGTTCTGTTTTATCTTGTTTTGTTTTGGGTTTTGTTTGGTTCTGTTTTATTTGGGGGAGGGGTTTGTTTTATTTGGGGTTTTATCTTGTTTTGTTTTGGGTTTTGTTTGGTTCTGTTTTATTTGGGGGAGGAGTTTGTTTTGTTTGGGGTTTTTTGTTCTGTTTTATCTTGTTTTGTTTTGGGTTTTGTTTGGTTCTGTTTTATTTGGGGGAGGGGTTTGTTTTATTTGGGGTTTTATCTTGTTTTGTTTTGGGTTTTGTTTGGTTCTGTTTTATTTGGGGGAGGAGTTTGTTTTGTTTGGGGTTTTTTGTTCTGTTTTATCTTGTTTTGTTTTGGGTTTTGTTTGGTTCTGTTTTATTTGGGGGGTGGGTTTGTTTTATTTGGGGTTTTTGTTCTGTTTTATCTTGTTTTGTTTTGGGTTTTGTTTGGTTCTGTTTTATTTGGGGGAGGGGTTTGTTTTATTTGGGGTTTTATCTTGTTTTGTTTTGGGTTTTGTTTGGTTCTGTTTTATTTGGGGGAGGAGTTTGTTTTGTTTGGGTTTTTTTGTTCTGTTTTATCTTGTTTTGTTTTGGGTTTTGTTTGGTTCTGTTTTATTTGGGGGGTGGGTTTGTTTTATTTGGGGTTTTTGTTCTGTTTTATCTTGTTTTGTTTTGGGTTTTGTTTGGTTCTGTTTTATTTGGGGGAGGGGTTTGTTTTATTTGGGGTTTTATCTTGTTTTGTTTTGGGTTTTGTTTGGTTCTGTTTTATTTGGGGGAGGAGTTTGTTTTGTTTGGGGGTTTTTGTTCTGTTTTATCTTGTTTTGTTTTGGGTTTTGTTTGGTTCTGTTTTATTTGGGGGGTGGGTTTGTTTTATTTGGGGGTTTTGTTCTGTTTTATCTTATTTTGGGTTTTGTTTGGTTCTGTTTTATTTGAGGGAGGGGTTTGTTTTGTTTGGGGGTTTTTGTTCTGTTTTATCTTGTTTTGTTTTGGTTGTTGTTTTATTTGGGGGAGGGGTTTGTTTTGGCGTTTTGTTCTGTTTTATCTTGTTTTGGGTTTTGTTTGGTTCTGTTTTATTTGGGGGAGGGGTTGTTTTCTTTTGGGATTTTTGTTCTGTTTTTATCTTGTTTTGTTATGGGTTTTGTTTGGTTCTGTTCATTTTTTTTTAAACAAGGCAAAAGAGGAATGTTTTGTTTTTGTTTTTCTTCTCCCATGCCTGTATTCTGAACGTCTCTTCTTGTTCATACTGATGTTGGTTCTGTCGCTTATGTGTTCTGGTTCAGAGAAGTCACCTGATACTGTACTGTATTGAATAAAGTGTAAGTTACCCTCCATCACACTGCTTCTTCTCTCTTTATTGCTAAATATCTTTTTTCTTTACTAAACACCTTATCCCACACAGGATAGGGGTAATATCTGAACAATAGAGACACCCCAAAAGACAGCATGTTATTTCACTCTCGTGTTGTTCCAAAGACTCTATTTCTTCTGCAGAACTCAAACACATTTATATTTAAACACCCTTTAAAATAAAGTGATTTCATTACTAATTCTCGGAAATGTATTAATTATTGAATCATGTTTTCTTAAACTATCTAGTATATTGTTATATGTCAGATTTGATCTAATGTATTCAGAATTTCCCAACTTTTAACAGTTTAAGTAACATAATGTGTTCACATGTCAGCCTATTCTTTTGTTTGTTACTTTATAACAACTCATCTGTTATGTTTGCCAAATGATGAAAATAGTACAAATGTTGCAGGACTGCCTCTGTATGACCTTGGCAGAGTAAATGATGCTGATAAACATGAATTACACCAGACTTTGAAGTCTTAGGTCATCACCTATCATCAAGTAATGATGCCTTAAAAAGAAATGTAACAATGTAAAATAAAATGTTGCACAGTGTTCAGATGCATGCCACAGCATAAAGCAATAAACTGCCTAATATGTTGAAACGAAAATACACATTTTAAGGCAAAACATTGGCTAAGGTTTTTGATTACTTTAAATAAAATGTCATTCATGAATAAGAAATATTTCTATTCTATTGCTAATGTTGTTGTTACTGTTGTTACTGACCAGCCAGCGGTCCCCACGAGGGTAATGGGTTGATAAACATACTATTATATAATTTTGAAAATGTAGAAAAAAATTAAGTTTCATGTGATGGGTAGGGTTAGTGCAAGGAGACAGAATATACAGTTTGTACAGTATAAAAAACATGAAGTGTCCCCAAAAAGATATTTAACCAGACTGTGTCTGTGTGACAATAATTTACAGTATGCATATATATATTTCAGAGAATTTTTTGTACCCATTTAACGATCGCAGTAGCAAATACCTCCCACTCACTTTTTAAAAGTGTATCAGTCTGCTTGTGGCATCTACAGAGCGAGAAACTTCCCTCAGCAGTCGTCTAGCTGGTAAGACTGACATTTATCCGCTTATTTTCCATATTGTGTTATCAAAACTGAACCAGTTTCATATTTATCCTGTAATTATCTTTTACAATTTGCTGCCAGATATCCAGGCTGCAGTGAGAAATGAAGCAGTTTTGTGCTATTTGCATCCTAATGATACTAATGGTAAGCCTGTTTTTCAAATTATTATATCTGGTCTGATTGTTCATATGTCTTTCACGCATTTTGGTGTGTAAAAATACTGCTATCACTATAGGTTGTTCAGCATTGGTGTTAACGCATTACAAGTAACGTGAGTTATGTAATCAGATTACTTTTTTCAAGTAACTAGTAATCCATTACTTTTAAATTTACAACAAAATATCAGAGTTGCTTTTTCAAATAAGTAACTTTGTTTTCCAATTCAATTGACAGCTCTCTTTGAGAAAAATAGAACTTTTTGTTGTATTTTGTTATTAAAATACAATCATCAAGCCCAGCCCATGTGGGTGAAAGTAACGCAACGCATTACTTTCCATGCGATTAGTTACTTTTAAGGGAGTAATGCAATAGACCATTTCACAAAACAACACTGGTCCAGAAGCACTTCCTGTTTCAGTTTTTTAACACTACATAAAAGCTGGGATAAAATACAACCAACAGAACATTTAAAACTGAATCAAAAAGTGAAACAAACATCTGTAAGATGTTTTCTTTACATGTGAAATAAAGAAAACAGTTACAAACTGAAACAGGAAGTGCTTCTGGACCAGTGTTGTTTACATCTTGTGAAATGGTCTATATTGTAAAGCATTACTTTTCAAAGTAACTTTCCCCAACACCGCATCTCAGTGTCATTAAAGGAGTAGTTAACTTAAAAAAAAAAAAAACTTTTGCTGATAATTTACTCACCCCCATGTCATCCAAGATGTCCATGTTATTCTTTCTTCAGTTGAAAAGAAATTAAGGTTTTTGATGAAACCATTCCAGGATTTTCTCCATATAATGGACTTCAATGGGAACCAATCGGTTCAAGGTCCAAATGAGAGTTTCAGTGCAGCTTCAAAGGGCTTTAAACGACACCAGACAATGAATAAGGGTCTTATCTAGCGAAACGATCGGTCATTTAAAAATAAATAAAAAAGTTTACGTTTTATAAGCTCAAATGCTCGCCTTGCTCTTTCTGTGATGAGTGTTTGTGACTCTCCTGTTCAACCTCGTTCATCAAAATGAACAAATCTTTTTTCGAGTCATGACTCGAAGGGTCCTAGATAAGACCCTTATTCCTCGTCTGGTGTCGTTTAAAGCCCTTTGAAGCTGCACTGAAACTCACATTTGGACCTTGAACCGTTTGGTTCCCAATGAAGTCCATTATATGGAGAAAATCCTGGAATGTTGTTTGAAAGAAAACCTTAATTTATTTTCAACTCAAGAAAGAAAGACGTGGACATCTTGGATGACATGGGGGTGAGTCAATTATCAGCAAAAGTTTTTTTTAAAAGTTTAAAAACTACTCCTTTAATGATAATCAATAATAGATATTTTTTTCCTTGTCTCTTTTTTCTGTCCCAGATCTCGCTTGCTTTTCTTTCAGGGCAACAGCGTTGCGTTGTAACCTGTGTGTTTCCAAAGGGCTTGGGAATCCCTGCACTCCATCAGTCCAGACATGTCTGCCACACGTCGCCAATCAAATTCAAGCAGGGTTTAATGGGTGAGCTCAGCCATCATCACGACCCGTAAAAACGGATTTACGGAACCTATTCGAATCCGTGTTTTTTTTTTGTTTTTTTTTAGTTATAACATTAAACGTTCTTCATCCTCCCTTCATCCACTCCTGTATCAGCATGGCGGCCTGCTAGAACTACATGCATTCTAAAGTTGACAACCAAGTTGATTGAACTTAAAAATTGAAGGCAGCAACTTTAATTTTTTTTTACAATGAATCATCAGTTTTATAAGTTATAACAACATGATTTAACATTGCTTTAACTCATCAAAAAAGTTAAGCAATTTTCTACTATTTTTATAAGTTATACAAGAGATTTATCTCATGGTTTAGGTTGAATTAGGTTTAATTTAAGTTGATTTGACTTAAACAGCCAAGTTGATTGTACTTAAAAATTGAAGGCAGCAAATTTTTTTTACATTAGTCATTTGAATAATAAGTTTTATACAGTCTATCTGAATAATGTGTCAAATGATGATAAAGTGTCTACTGCTATATCGTAATGACTGTTTCCGATGGCGCCATCTACTGGACACTAGCCAAAGGACACGTGCCAGAGGATGGAGCTTTTCCGTAAACGATCCTCAAAAATAAAAATAAATTAATAAAAAAAAAAAAATTAGGTTCTGCAAAATTTCCTCAAAATAATTATATGTTATTTCGTTATTAATATTTTATTCATCAAATACTTGTAAGAATACATCGTGTAAATGTGACACAATTTTAATAAAAAATTACTTAATTTAAACAGTTAAGGTTTAAATTATAGGTTAATGATCAACTTAAGTGGATCCACTCTGGTTTGCTATATCAACAACTGATGAAAATTTGTTTGACTGACTAAATGGATGGAGAGGATTTGGAATTGAAGCAAACATGACGCAGAAGAATACAAATTCATTGAAATGGAAATTCATAATTATTAGCCTATTATTATATAATTATTATACCAAAAGCAAAGTTTGTGAAACTTTAAGAAAGAAAATGTTTCAGAACTTGAAGTTTAGCCTACACCAACCCGAAAATGAGAACAAAGTTGAGTTTGGACTCCGGAGCATGGTTGTTTTACATTAACGTTTGATTATATTTCATACATATGCTAAAATACGACAATTTAAACAAGTAGCCTATTTTAAACGGACTCAAAGTAGTCTAAATAAATGTAATCGAATTATAAGAAATAAGAAAATTATCAGTGCTGCCAGTTAGTGACGTTCAGAAATAAGACGACAAAACAAAAGGGAAACGGTTAAATTTAAGAAAGAATATTTTTATTTTAGACTAATAAATATTTGGTCTTTCAAGGCACTTCCAACATAAGGCCAATAAGTACTTCTTCTGACGGATAACATCCGTGCAGACGATCTTAAAAGAGTTACACATCTACAGCTGCTCTACAAGAGCACGTCAGAATACAACACGAAGAATAAAACATATACAGCAGCTTATACTTCCATCATCTCGTGTGGCTGTAGGGGACTGGGTTAACATTGACATAACTGATGCTATAACTAGGCCTAATTAATAACCATTAGATGCGGTTCCTTTGAAAATATAATTACATGTTGTTCGTGAGTATTATTCAGCACTTAGGCCTAGTTGTGCAATTAACAAGAACAATCTTGTAATGTGACTTTTGTAATGTAGTGAAAATTTCCCTGTGATTCTGGATGTGTAAACGTTAATAATTTGCGCAAAGTCTGGAAGAGTGGAAGAAGCCGCGTCAGGTAGAAAAAAGTTTTTTTTTTTTTTTTTTTTTATGACAAATAATACATCCCATAGGACACGGGTCCGTTAAATAGTCCTGGCATCGGGACGGGCCGTGGGAAGGAGGCTGGAGGTCCGTACAGAGATGATGGAGATCCCAGAGGAAAGGGCAGCGCGAACGGGGACAGGAGCGGTTTGGAGGCGCATTTGAACTTTTCCAGCTCGGCCTCCTGGAGTCTCTTGGCCTTCGCCCTCCGGTTCTGGAACCAGATCTTGACCTGAGTCTCGGTGAGGTTGAGGGAGTTGGAGAACTCGGCCCGTTCGGCGATGGAGAGGTACTGTTTCTGCCTGAACTTGCGCTCGAGGGAGAGCAGCTGTGCGGTGCTGAAGGGTGTGCGCGGCTTCCGGTTCGTCTTGTGCTTGCGTAACGGGCACGGCGGCGGGCTCGGGAGACCTGCGGGACACCGGCGGGAACAAACCGTTAGGCTACTTCTTTACAGGTCAGGGGCCATGTGCATAAACATAGCTATAATGTTAAGACAGTGTCTTAAGAACTAGACCAATTAGCAGTTAGTTAGGTCTTGCTCGGTATCAAATTAGACCAATAGCCTACGTTTTTATGTAATAACTTTAAAAAGTTATGAAAAGTCTTGAAGAAAAAAATTGGATGACTAACTTGTAAGACTATTCTCTCCCCAGGTCTCCAAATGCCTTCATCGTGAATTTTGACTCCTGTTTTATTTTATTTATTTATTTTTTAATAGGCCTACCACTTTCTTTCAAAATTCATTTCCTTTTTGTGTGTTTGCAAATTTTCTAATAATGCCCTCCCCCCCTTTCTTCTTTCTTTCCCTTCTTCTTTTTTTTTTTTTTTTTTTTTTTTACATGTTAATATTATTTTTATTTTGATGGCAAACGGAATGACATTGAACGCCGATCATTTCTTAACTGTTATTAACAAGTGTCATTTTTAAAATGATTGAATTGACTAATTATTTAGGCTACTATTCATTATTAGCCTACACGTCTAAAGATAAATATTGTTGTTGTTGTTATATACTATTGTTAACAACGTAGGGCCTGTTTCTATTAGTAGGCCTATATGGAAAAAGATGTTAAAAATGTCTAAATATGGTTGTTATTTTTTTTAAATATTCTTTTGAAACATTTCTCTTTCTTTCTTCTTTTCATAAAACTACAAACCATCTGAATAATCCAAACTTTATCCTTCAGTTAGGCTGTTTACTATAGGCTATTTACAAAACAGCCTACTTTATTGTCATTTTATATTTATAGGCTAACAGTAATATTAGCCTATTTAATATTTTCACAAAATAAGGCTATTTATTGTTACCTAAATAGTTTATATTTATTTATTATAGCTATTTATTATTGTTGCCTAAATAGTTTATATTAAAAGTAAGCTGTCAATAAGAAAGTTGAAGGTAAAAAAAAAAATTCTAATGATCATTATCATTATTTAGCCTATCTAATTAAATGAATAGCTAGGCTGTTTTGAAAGAAAAAAAATATAATGAACAAACTCAGTAATGAAACTGTAACTTACTAACTAACTGTAACTGTAAGGCTAAATGGTTGAAATACTTACGAGGAGGAGATGTGAAAGACGAAGAGTTTGGCCAAGTGCTCTGTTCCTTATCGCTTAAATCTTCACTGTCCGAAACGCTTGACAAAGTGTCCACAGAAACTTTGGTTTTGTCTACAAAGTAAGTCCGTACTAAGTCCTGTCCCAATCCCAGTCTCTGGTGCTGGAGAGCCGGAGAGCACGCGACCTGGCAGCTCGATTTGGCCATCAGGGATTCAACACTGAACGGGAGGTAAGTCTTCTTCACTTTATGTCCCGTGTCAGTGGTCATATCTTTCGGCTTTTGACTTTCCTCGCTGTCCGAGTCCGATTTTTCCTGAGCTGTCGCTTCAACGGGCCCCTTAGGAGAACTCATCGTAAACCATCCGCCGCAAGTTTATTCATATAGCCTACAGTCTCGTCTCAACAACTTCCAGCAGTCTGTCGCGCGTTGCTTTAGTGCACTTATAATAGCTCGCAAACTGCGGGCAGCCAATCAGCGTGCGCTCGATTACAAACGCCTCGATTTGATTGGTCAGAACGGTCCCCTGGGGCACGCTCGGACCAATCAAAATAAAACCCTTAGAAGTCATGTGGTCAAGTTGACACCAAGACATCAAGGGGATATTGAGAAAAATGAGTACTTAATCGCGGATGTCTTGCTGAGATGATGTATAGATGGCCTCGGGGCTCTTGACTCTTTGGAGCACAAAGTAGACCAATTTTAGCCCAATTAAACAGTGGGGAAGCTCTCAAAGTATCTGTATCCGACTGTTGAGAAGTTATTGAAAAGGCACAATGGAATTACTCCACACCAAAACTGTGGTCAAAATGAATACACGGTAAACAAGGAAACCAGACTGTCTTGTTTGTAAAGTCTGTGTTGGAAATAGTTGCCTAAATGTTGTTTTTAATAGAGTATTGGAAGTTAACAAAACACCTGGCTAAAAAATTAAAACTGTTAATATAACTAGGCTAATAGTAGCCTATGTATAACTCTTTATAGCCTATATATATATATATATATATATATATATATATATATATATATATATATATATTGATATAGCTATATTTTGTCCATATTTTTCCAAAACATGGTTAAAACAATATATTATAGGCCTATAGCTTATTTTGTCGAATAGGCTAGGCTATATATATATATATATATATATATATATATATATAGCCTACGATTTTTCTTTTTTTTTTTCTTTTTTCATTTAGACTTTTTTGTTTTGTGTGGGATAAATTCAAAAGCGACTATAAAATCGTTAAAAGGATCGTTAAGGCAAAAATAGCTGAAAATGCAACATTTACCAATTTGGCACGCTAATGTTGTTTCAACATGTTTGGGTCACATGGACGAACCCAAAAATGTTTTTAAAAATGTTAAACCCAACAGTTGGTTTATATATATATATATATATATATATATATATATATATATATATATATATATATATATATATATATATATATATATATATATTTATTAAACCCAACGGTTCGGTTTGGCAATATATGACCCGAACATGATTTGAAACAACCCAGCATTTTTATTTTATTTTATTTTTTTTATTATTATTATTATTTTTTTTTTTTAAAGGCTACTTAGGCTACTAAAGACTACTAAAATAAGCGATAGGCTAGTAGTTTGTTTTATAAAACATAAAAAAGGCTAAAGTTTTATTCTTGAAAAAGCATATAAAGTAGGCCTATATGGAAACTTTTCATGGTTGCTTTATTGAGAAAAGCTTTTGTCAAGGCAGAAATTGATTCGAAAGGGCTGTAAGTTACACAATACTTAGGCAATTTAAGGCATGTCACGGGCTTTTAAGGTTACAAAAGACTCAGCTGAGAAGCGAGCAGAGTTTTCTTCTCTCTCATTTAGAGAGCCAGACGAGCTGCGTTTTGGAAGGCGCCAGAGACGGTGGGATCAAAAGAGAAGGTACCTCGAGGAGGAAAAGGCAACAGTTTAACTCCACTTAACCAATTGTCTTCAAAATATGTAGTCCTGAGCATAGCTGCAAGGCCAAACGGTGACGTCAAGAAAATGAACCAGTACTTTCCCAAACCGAAAAAAAAAAACATTGGCAGAGTGAACAAACTCTCTTTAGTGTTCATAATAAGTTAGAGACTCTCCGCTTTCCAAAACATAAACACGGACACCATGTAGGCTATAAACCTACCAGTATAACAATAAATGCATTATTATTGTTATTATTATTATTATTATTATTGCGTAATATAGCAATAATGCCCGAGAGGTAATTTCAGTTCGCTTATTCCAGCCGACTGTTTTTATTGTGCATTCTTGGCGGCACCTTGCACCGATTTGGCAGACGGTCTCAGATTTGCTTTAATTCTCTAAAAGCCAAAGGTTATTCCTCTTACGAGTGATATATCTGTCAGGGTGGGTATCAAATCAAACGCGCTGTTCTCCCTTAGAAAGTCCCCCTGCATTAAACTCCACCAATCTAAACGCTAAATAATTAAAATGATCACGGGAGATCCTACGTTTTAATGACGATAGTTTATGTGAAGCTGATTGAGTCGACACTCTTTTGTAATTTAAAACTCGTTTGGAACGAACAGATGGAGACAACTGAGATATTTGGACAAAACTGAAACCTTAAACTTAATCTAATTGGATTGGCTAGGGGAGATGGATGGATGGATGGATGGATGGAGATGGATGGATGGATGGATGGATGGATGGATGGATGGATAGAGATGGGTAGATGGATAGATAGATGGATGGATAGATAGATAGATAGATAGATAGATAGATAGATAGATAGATAGATAGATACACTGTAAAAATATTGTTGTTTTAACTTAAAGTAAGTAACCTGGTTGCCTTAAAATTTTAAGTTGATTGAACTGGAAAAAGTGAGTTAATGCAATGAAGGAGATTAATTTAATCATCAGAAACTCAAAAAATGATAAGTTATCTGAACTAAATCAATTATTTAAGTTGATTTGACAAAATAAAATATGTTGTGATAACAAATCTTGAAAATATTTTTTTTACAGTGTAGAGAGATAGACTGTAAAAACATTGCTGGTTTAACTTAAAAAATTAAGTAACCTAGCTGCCTTAAAAATTTAAGTTCATTGAAATGGAAAAATTGAGTTAATACAATGAAGGTGATTGATTTAATCATCAGAAACTTAAAATATTATGTTATCTAAACTAAATAAATTATTTAAGTTGATTTGACAAAAGAAATAATGTTGTGATTGATTACAAATCATGAAAATATATATTTTTTTTTACAGTGAGATGGATTGATTGATTTATGGATAGATGTGTGGATATAGGTATGGATGTATGAGTGTGTGGATAGATAGAAGGGTATAGATTCAGTAATTACTGTTTATTCCAGTACAGTCCTTCACTCACATCAAAAAACAAATACATAATGGTAATCTCAACAGAAGGATGTGGTTTGTGTCAGCAGTCTCACTCAGATCTGCCCTCTCAAGGCGACATCATTTATATAGCCAATAACAGCTCTGTTCACATGGAGTCACTTCCAATCATTTTCAAGCTTGGTTGAAACCACTCAGTCAGTTCATAAAACCAGAGGCCAAGTCAAATTTAGCAGCATCAGAGCAGCACTACACACACTTTAAATGTTGCTCATTGTGCGCTTGACATTCCAGGAATTCTCTGTCTATTTGAGTATTTATGCGTTCATGCATGCATTCGTCTCATCCAGGTTTCAGCTAATTAGACTTTTCTTTCCCTTTATGTTTGATCTTTAAAAGCTTTTAACATTATTATATTACATAAAATTAATTTATTTTATGAAATGAATAAAATCACCAAAAATCCAAACATGCTGTAAACCTATAGGAGGCGTAATACAAAATAAAGAAAAATGCAAAAACAAAAAGAAAAAGAAAAAAAGAAAAGAATAAAGGCATGCATAATAATGAATGAACTACAGCTTTACTGAAAAATGCAACATTTTGGTCTTGCATGACCTTCAGGGCATCTTAGCTGAGAAATAAGATTTTTTTTTAATCATAAATAAGAAGCAGTTTTACTTAAGCTATATTTTGAAAAATATATATTTTTTATTTTCTTAAATTCAATATAAAATATATAATATTTTTTAAAAATGTAAATAATAATAATAATAATAATGAAACAATCATATTTGTCTTGCCTTTGTATAGTATAAACCAAATATAAATCTATGTGACAGAACATCCTTCTCTTCATTCTCACTGTCAGTGATGTTCCTCAGTGATGCGTTCTTAGCAGAGTGACAGGCTTTTAGATTCTCGTCTAACACACACACACACACACACACACACACTACAGGTTGAAACAGAGACAGTGACTAATGCTTGGAAATAGAGCTGATATGGTTCTGCAACACATGACAGATGAGGGGGTTTATATTTGTCCAGTGCCGAATACACAGGGCGTATTCTTCTCGTTACTGTAATGTCTCTGTAACAAAGGCTTAAACAAACTAATAGACAGATCTAGTATTTTTTGCAACAAAACTCATTGTGTGCAGTGAGTGATAGAAGTGCCCTAATGTAGCCTAAATACTGACGGGTTTGTCCATTCACTATAACACTAAAGACAAGCTGTTTAATATTCTTAAAATTAATTCATATTAAATATATTTTACATTTCATTAATTTAATACAAATAAATGTAATAAGTCATTTGATACAAACAAATTGAATAATTCAAATGAGGCTATAATTTTATAATTATCATAGATATATTACAGGTCTTTTCATATTTCTTAAATTTAATTAATTCAGGTTATTGTTGATTATTGTTGTATTTAATACAAATAAATGTAAAAATAACAATTTAATACATTTCATAAATATCATTTTAATTTAATCAATTTTGTAAGCTGCCTACAGAGGGAGTATTTTAAGTCATCATTTGCTACAGGTCTTTTTTTTAAAGTGAATTTAATTAATTAGAAAACAATTTACAATTGAAAACATTTAACACAAATAAATGTAATACTTAATAGCTCTAATTATAATTGAATAAACTTTGTAAGCTGAGGGAGTATTTTAAGTCTTCAAAGTTGTGCTTTCTATATTATTAAAATGAATTAATAAAAAATGCAGGCCTATTTATTAATTTAAGTAGTTTAGTTTCCTTCACACTATTTAATTTTCTTACATTTTATTAATTAAAAAGTATTTTACATTTAATAACTTTAAAACAAATAAATGTAATACTCGTTAATTTAATACAAATAAATAATAGCTTAAATATTAAATACATATAATTTTAGTTTAATCAGAGATAAAATAATTTCTGAAGTTTTCTTTTTATTGTCTTGATCATGTGGTTTCATTGAAAATGCTAAAAATATGATGCTGAAGGCCAGTGCTGCTATAATTAATAAAGCAAACCTTTTTTAAACGGGGCT